CCCCCCCCCCCCCCGATCTGATAACAACAACGTCTAAACGTGTTTTTAGTTCGTCTGATCTGATAACTACGTCGTCTACTCGTGTTTTTAATTAGTCTGAACTGATAACTATGCCGTCTAATCATGTTTTTAAACAGCCTCCCTTACCTAAGACCTGACGTGACAAATTAGAATATTAGAAATGGGATTGGGAGGTAACACTTTTTTATTGTAACTACAAATATATCAATGTATAAGAAGGTCATGTTACTAAAAAAAAACATAATGTCCTTACATTCCTGGAATTTCATTGATATCATACGAAACACACGCTGAAGATGAAGCCCTAAAACAGTGTTCTGCAATGAAAAATATAATAATTAAAGCTATCAATTGTAACAGTGAATGATACTGGTTTTATATCCTGGTCAGTTGTTAGATGCTGATAAATGTAAAAAGTGATGTATACATGGGGGAATATTTGTAAAAACTGAAAATCCTGAAGAAGATAGCTTGAAATTGCTCATGACATTTAGACCATATGAAAAAAAATTATGGCAGATATTATGGCAGACTAGCCAGTGCGGTGCATCAAAGATTAAAATTAGCTGGTAGAAGTTATATACAGTGTATCTACATATATTTTAAGGTTGTTCCTTATAAGGTCAGTCAAATAACAATGTATAGCATCATCATTACAAATTCATCATTTTTTGCATATACCTTTTTTAAGGTTTTATGATGCCGCATTTGTGGCACATATAATATTTCAAATTTATCACTAAAACATTTTACTCCACCTCACTCTAACTCCATTTCAAGTCTGACATGATGCCATGGAATGCCAATTGCCTATTAAAGCCATTTAAGACATTCCATATCAACTAAGATGTAAAGCAACCATTTAAAAACAAATGGTTTATAAAAGACTTCAAAATTTTATTTAAATAATGTCAGTATTTAACAGGATTTTAAAAGAGTGAGTTTTTTATCATCCTTACAGTCTATGGCAGTACATTATTTAGCTTTGGAGCATATATTTCAAATGCTGATTTCTGCCTTTCTTTCTGCAGGTCAATACTTTAAATGAGATGGTTAAATGCTTTCACCTATTCAGTTACCAATTTTCTGAATACTCACCCACGTGAACAATGCTTCTGCAAACCTCACTTGTACATCGGCCAGAATCACGTCTGCATCTTTCTCTCTCCAGTTGCACAAGAGGTGAGCCAGTTTGCATGCCTTACTGTATATTGCTAAGGCTTTCGTGTATTCTTGTTTGTTGAACCCAATGATGCCATCTTTTTTCATGACATCAATAAGTCTTTTCGCTTCCTCAACCTACACACACAAAAAAGGCATCTATTTGGTAAGGATTTATTTTTGGTTTCTATCTTAGACAATTAAATATCATAACTTTGATTGCATTTTAACATTATTGTTGTACCTCAAAATCAAGGACATTCCTATGGAGTGGTAGCAACAAAACTGAAAAGCAAGCTACCTATTAATACTTCTATTCTATACAGAAAAAGTACCAAAAATAATGCAAACAGCTAGTCTACAATTTTAATTTTAAATTTTCATAAAAAAGTATTACGCTTATATCAAAGTCAGGGTACACTATACCTGATTTCTGTCATTGTATACCCTAATTTGTCTGCTGATCATGCTTAACAGTATATCCCCTCGGATACGGAATTCATCAATTCTCATGATAGTAATTTCACTGCAGTACACAATGGCTGAAAAAATAACATATTGGCTTAATGTGATGCTCTTGTCAAGCATATAGACGCAAAAGTCAGATTATACAATTTATCTGTTATATGCTACCCTCTTGATTTCATATCTTCATGACTTCTTTATACTTTAATTACTTTGAAATGATCATTCATTATCAATAAATATTAAATCAATTAAATCATATAGTATATTTATTGGTACTGATCCTGGGTTTCACGCTGCAGTAAAAATTTACAATATACAAATTTGATCCTGTAGACCTATACGCAAACATTTCTATCAGGCCTCTTGGAATCCACTGTTCCCCCAAAGACGTTTAAAACAGTGTTGAACTATATTTTGTTTCCATAAATTTTTTTACTTGGTTGAAAATATCAAAATGTCTCAAAAGAAACTAAAAAATCATGTCACATGAAAGAATTGATTCAGTTAAATATTTTACACCCTGTGGTTCAACCGACAATTCAGCCAATTGCAGTAAAAACTTCAAAATTTCGTCATTTAAATATTAATTAATATTTTAAATGCATTAATCTGACATGGCCATATTAGGTGATGAACTATTCAAAAGAATCGAGAGGCCTATTTTCAAGTTTTACTGTATTTTCAAAGTGAAAAACTTTGAGAAATGTCTTTCAACAAAATTTTCAAGACCAACTAAATGTTCAAGTTTTTATTGTAGTTAATGTAAGTGACAGCCAAGACAAGAACAATATTTGCTGCTTCCATGAAAAAATATACCTATCAATTCTATTTATTTGAAAGTTGACAAGAAACTGTTCCAAATTTATATCAATTCCCCAGTGTGCAACCAATGGAGAGAGAAATTTTGAAAAAATTAACAAATTTACCTTTGTGCAGGTCTTTCAATGCCATTAGATAATGGCCTTCACCCTGGAAGATAAAAAAGAAATGCAATTGGTATCAAAACCATTTTATTGCAATAGTCACAAAACAGATGGTTCAATAGACTTGGGTTAATAAAAAAAATATTTAAATAATCTTTTCAAATCACTGATTAAACCTTTAAATGCAAGTGCAGACATACATTAAGCATGTAAATTGCATAATTACAGACAGGCAGACAGACGGACATATAGACAGACAGACACAATTACACACTAGAGACAATTCCAAAGATGGCCAAAAACATATATGAATATAAAAATCTCTCAGGAACATACCATCATCTGATAACAAAGACAGCGATTAAAATAAACATCAACCAGCAGTTGATGGGGGGTGATACAAATGCCTTTCTGCAGGTGGAATTTCTCCACATATTCCAGTGCTCTGCTTAGATGCTCTGCAGCAACATCAAATTCCCCTCTTTTAAATGGTTCTTTGCCACGCTCCAAATACACCATAACCTCCTCCTCATATTTGGCAATCTGCAAAGAAAAAAAAATCAAATCTATAAGAACAAAATACCCAAGACCTAAGACCTCAGACTTCAAATGGGCTCAAGTAAAATTAAAGGGAGGGGGGGGGGGGTCATTTTTCTTAAAAATGTGTTCTTTAATGTCCACCATTTGTTCTGTGGGACAGTGGTTGGAAAGACGCTAGTGGCCAAAAGAGCTGGTTGACTGTATGTTTTTACTCAGTACATACAGGAGCCCATTCAGAACAGCTCACTAACAGATCCATGGATCAAATATGGCGACCCAATTCAAAGCTCACCGCTCAATTCCTAATTAGACATTGAATAGATTTCCTGCAGGGATAACACAACAACCATTCAAGTGGTTCGGTCATATTTGATCCACGGATCAGTTACATGGGTAGTCTTCTGTTCAGAATGTGCTCTAAGGTATAGTAGTAAATACCAATTTCCATGTCTTTTCTGATATTCTCTACTTACTTCTTTGTCATGAGCTTCTGGTTGTCCTGGGGATGTGGATTGAGCTTGCCTGAAAATGTTAAATTTAAAATGAGTTTTACAAAATATGAAACCTAGAACCTCTGCAAGACTGCAAGGCACTTCTAAGGAAACTCTGACAGTTTAAAAAGCAAGCTGGATTCTTATCCTTACGTATACTTTTAGACAAAATTTTTTGTATAAATATTATTGAAATAACAGAGGTGTTAGAAATTCGTGAAAATCATTTTCACTTACAGTTCTTCTTTGGCAGGATCTTCCCCATTGTTCTTTAATAATTAAATAACAAAAAATCTTTAAAAACACATTTTAATTGTTAACTAAAAACAAATTCTTATTGTTAACTCTAAAAATAAGAAAAAAGAAAATGAATGCACCAATCTTGCAAATAGCTCTGTTTACCACAATATGTTAGATATATAAAGCATTAAATCAAAGTAAAAAAAAAATAAATAAAAATACAATTTTTTTTACCTAAAATTATTTTATTAAAAAATTGATATCATCAATCAATTAACCAAAAGAAATTATCAGATGGTTATATCTAAGAACACATTCAAAAAGCAGACTGACAGGCAATTCAGAAAAGATGATCGGAGTACTAACTTACTTGCTGACTAAATATAGCCAACCCCTCTTCAAAAACAATGTCACTAATTCCATGTTGTGCCTAGCAATTAAACCTTTGGAGACGTGATTTAATTTGTTTAATCATCAGGAATCAGTGGCATCACTTTTGTAGTGGGGTCGACCATATTTAGTCAGTCTGTACTTGAATCATCCATCATACTTCTGAATGCCCTAACAGATCCATGGATCAAATATGGCCGACCCACTTGAATGCTTGTTGCATAATCCCAGTAGGGAACCTTTTCAATGTCTAATCGAGAAGTAAGTGGCAAGCTTTTTAGTGGGTCACCATATCTGATCTGTGGACCTAGCTGTTAGTTCACTGTTCTGAATGTGCTCTAAGGCCTCATTCACAACAGTGGACTATGTAGTCGGTGGAATAAATATGGCCGCCTCACTTAAATACTTGTTGCGTAATCCCCATGGGAATCTATTCGGTTAAGGAGATTACTAGATGGCAAACTTTAAAGTGGGTCACCATACTTGATCTTCGGACTAGTTAGTCAGCTGCTGTGAATGCAGCTTAATAAGTAATTTACATTCCCACAAACCTGTTCAGAACCAGGTGTTGTACTGGGTCCTGGGTTGGCCTCCACATCTCCTGCCACCAGCAACAGTAGTCCTATTAACAACAGCAGTCTCAGGCCGGCTGACAGGTGCCCTTTAACATCAATTTTTTTTTTAATAATGTGAAAAACAGAACAAAAAAGTCCATGTGGGTACATTCATGTCTATTTAAGGTTGCACTTATTAAATTTTATGGATGACATTCTCTGGAGACCCTGAAACATGTGCACAAGAGTGAAAAAAATGTAGTAAAAAAAAGGAGAGGGAGGGAGATATTAAAAGAATGAAGCACAGGATTTTTTAAGCATTCTAAGTACATGAATTGCTTATTATGTTGAACCTAAATTTCTAAGGACAAGTAAAATCTTTGGATCGCATTTTAGCAGTAAAATAGTCTTAATCATTTAATATAGTCACATAAGAGAGAGAGAGGGAGAGAGAGAAAGAGAGACATGGCTCTAAAAATTGTAAGCTCTAAGTTAAAGGGATTACAACTCTTCGTATGAGATCTATACTTCACAATAAAAACATTGTAAAAAACTCATAAAAATATAATATATTCAATTTCACAACAAAAAAATGGCAGTTTAAACAATTATTCTGAACTCTGTGCTTGTATTCCAACCATGTGACCTCCACAGATGGCTGTACTCAATAATAATCTCTTAAGAGATTATTGCAAAAAAAAAAAAAAACTTTTTTGAAAAAAAAAATAGGGACTAAATTTGAATGTAGAAATGGATTCATTAACCATTGGTAAGTATGGGGAAATTGTTGTTTACCCCAAGAACATTCATTTTTTTTGGCCAAAATGAACAGTTGTAGTCCCTTAAAAAAAGTTTAAAGGTAAGAGTTTGAAACAACTCTGGAGCAGAACTCTTATCCCTGTCCATCCCTCAAAAATAAATAAACAAATAACATAAATACAAAAATTAATCAATTACTTAAAATAGATAAATAAATAAAACTGATTTTTTAAATCAAGTCTATGAATTGCCTCCATTACCTCTGAGATTTGGAATATAAGCGCATAACTGCTGTGCAAAGGATTTTCTAGGAGAGGCTGTTTTCAATCTTTTAGCCCCTAGGGCACTGGGCAACTCCTCATTTTGTTCAACAGGCAAGACCTTGGCTACACAATCATGATTTGTGGTTCTACACTTTCGTTTCCGGTGGCTGTTTCTGTGAGGGTCATCTTCACTGCTGGCCGAGGAAGAGTGTGTAAAACAACCTATTCTCAGCCTCCATGCCTCAACTGAGATTCCCATTATCTTTCAATGTGAAAGTTGCACACCACAAATCTATCTGTAACACAATATACTTTTCTTTTTTAACATTTCAATTATTTAAAGAAAAAAATCGTGGACTTGTTCTTCCTTAACTGTGCTGTTTCAGATTATAAGATACAGGCTACATGTAACATGATAAGAAACTAAAAAAAAGTGTTTAAATAAACAAATAGTAAAACTGTGGCAGAAAAATGTCCATCATAACTACTATTTCAAACAACTGGATAAAATATTCAGCCATGGCAGACTAACATTCAAATTCTAACATACTAGCTAAGTATACTAGTATATACTATTATAAAATATAATTAATATAATTAACTTATATTAATAGATGACAGATTATTCAAATTTAACTTTGGTAAGTTTTAAATATTTTCCTTCTCTTTAATTCTGCACAAACACACGATTGCCTGGGTGAAACAAATGTGCTCATGATTCCTTGTCAAAGATCAAGTTTTGAACTGTACTAATTTCGATTCCCTTCATATTTTATAAGACAACTTTTAAAAATAGAAATCGGGGCCACCAATATATTTTCCTTTCATTGTATAGCTTAATAAATCAAACGGTCAATCTATGCTCAGATATGTGGCTATCTATTTGCCAAATTTCAATCTAGTATTATAAAAAAAATCATGAACTTGGCATCTTCTTCCGCGAAATTTTATACATATCAAAAATTGGGAAGTTTCTATCTCATTTCTAAGTTTTTATCTATTCAAAGCTGAAACTATATAAATATCAGCTTACCTCGAGTCAAATCTGTTATAAAATAAGTCTCCTTTGGTTGCAAAATGTAGTAAATTGAAGACACACTGAGTGCACCGGTATTTGTCTTTGCGGAAGTAATTCTATCGATTGTTCAAAACGAAAGTTGGGAATTTTTTTTTCACGGCACACGTCAAAACGTTAGTTATGATGTTAGAATGAGGTTTTATAAAAAGGCGTTCAAAACTCCTATTTTTTCGTTGTATTCAAATACATGAATTCAATAAAAACTTTTTGAACTGGAAAAGTTTATCATCTTGGTTGGGATACACCGCTGGGCCTAGGTTGCCTGGTTCGGGGATATTTTAATTATAGTTTCGTATCATGTGCCAAGACAAGCCCTCATCGAAGCAGGAAGTTTACATTGTCAACAGGTGCGACCTACTCAGTAGCACAGAAGAGACGTGAAAATGGCAACGTTTTATTAGCTTTGCAGCGGCAGTGTTTCATCAGTTCTTTGTGAGTGTATTTGCTGATGTTTTAAAAGGTATATTTTAACACGTTTCAACGTTAATATCTTTGGGAATAATAATTATCTTTGATCCCTTTAATTTATTTGTTCTTTTAAACGTGCAATGCTGCACTTTGTGTATTGTGATTCTATGATATTTAGTGCATGATAACTAGAAAAGCACTCAGACAGCGCAGACCTCCACCAAGGCAATTCAGTTCCCATAATTGTTATTAATTATTTATCAGGTATCTAGTTAATCAGCTGTTTTCTTGGCATCATTGATTTTTGAACCACATGTACATATTGTACTGGGTGTAAACAAAAAGAGAGAAACCAAATATATACATGTAGGCTCTTTCTCACATTGATTGGAATCCTTCACAAATTTCTAGATTCAAATGAGGATCCAGATCTCCACCAAAGTCTTATCACTTTTTTAGTCATTTTAATTCAGGCCTATTCCCAAAATTTTGTCAAAATCCATCAAAATACTTTTTATGTTAAACTGGTTAGATTGTACCTACACAGCCAGTTTACAGAGTAGGGTGAAAGCATTAACAACCTCTTTGTCACAGTTAAATGCTTTGAAAATATTTCTCTGCTAAACTAAGATGGCTTAACTCAGATAGCTAACCGACTACATGTACATATACAGTAGTTTTATATTAGAATTACTAACTGGTTCACTTGGGTGTGAGTTTTTTTATTAGAGCCAAATCAATAATTAGCGATATAACAGTGACGGTTTTCTCTAAATGCTCCATTTTCAAATAAATAAATTTACTAGTATCAATAAATAATGTTATATAGATAAGAATAAAAGATGAAAATTGTCAGAGGACACACAGAGTAAAAAAGGCTTCATGGAACTTAATTACCAAGGTTACATGGTCACATGGACATACATGTACGTGTATCTAACCCTATCAGGAGCAGTGTAATAGCACTCTCTTGGAAATCCTAGTCAGCTAACCCAGGCACCTGACCTAAGTGTGTATATATATATATATATATTACCAAGGTTACATGGTCACATGGACATACATGTACGTGTATCTAACCCTATCAGGAGCAGTGTATTAGCACTCTCTTGGAAATCCTAGTCAGCTAACCCAGGCACCTGACCTAAGTGTATATATATATATATATATATAAATAATATAAATAATTATAAATAAGTAATTGGTAATATATATATATATATATATATATATATATATATATATATATTTTTTTTTTTTTTTTTTAAACTGGGGTTAGGATTGTGTTCATTTTTATTATACTGTTGTAGCTATCTAGCTTGCAAATGTTTTGTGCTCAGTGATTTATAAAAAATATAATTATTATAATATACACAAAGAGAACAGAATATGTTTCCCTTTGGTTATAATATATATTGGTGACATGTGACTTAAGAATCCCATATTGACAGAATTTGTGACAGAATGTGTTTTCTAAAAAAACTCCTCAATAAAGGTCATTGTGATATTTGTTATAAATCTAATGGATATAAAATAAATTCATCCATTATTTAGATTTTTGAAGGATGATGGGAAAGGCCCAGCTGTAGAAAATGATCGAGTCAGATTAATTTTTATTTATACCAGTAAATGTGCTCTACATTGATATCATAGATTAATAAATTTATGAAGGATTTGATTAAAAGAGATAGTGTGAACATGTTAAAACATTGATTATTTCTGTATCATCCAGGAACATCTTCAGCTCATAACGTAGAATGGACCAGACTCTAGGGGAGAACCAGGCGGAGTGTTCAAAAATAAATGGTGGAACCTACACTAGTGAAATAGACACTGAAGACACAGTCACTAGGCGTAACCACACAAAACCTGTGGAAGATGGGACTGGTGGTAGGATCACATCGCAGCTGGAAAGAGGTTCAGATATTTTCCGTCAGTCGAGAATTTCTCGTCAGATCAATTCAGCATTTGGTTTTCTCGATGATCAGCTTGACGATGTTGATAATAACTATGAGGAATCAGATAAACTGGGTGGGACTGCTGAGTCTCACGTTCAAAAGTCTCAGAGTACACTTAAACAGAACTCATGCACTGATAACACCCCTGTAATAGAGCAGATTAGACCACCACAGCCGGGACTCGATAAGAGCAATTCTGCGGAAGTATTACCCTTATCTGATAGGCATCCTTCCCAGAATGGGGTAAAACATGATTATACAAGTGGTAATGGATCTTTGGACACGGAATTGAGGAGCAGTAGTGAAGAACATGGTGGCAAGCCAGTGTCCCTAAATCACGAACCCCCAGTAAAATCACCGTTAAGACCAGTCATTAATCAGCAAAGTTTGCCCAAGCTCAGTGCCCCAGATGTAGTCAAACATTCCAATACAAACTGTGATAAGATTGTTGAAGTTGCTGATAATGAGGTCAGACCGAGTATAGGAACGGTCAATGGTGAAGAGACACAGGTGCCACCTGGTGAGCTAGCACCTGTGCTGCCACCTGGTGAGCGAGCACCTGTGCTGCCACCTGTAATGGCACCTGGTGAACATACCAAAGATAGCACTGAATCAACCCAGTCTGCTACAGCTGGTGCTGGCAGAGACTTCAATAACCTTGATGAATCAGAAGGAGGCTGTGCTTCTCAAAATAATTCCTCACAGTCTGGCCATCTCGCTGTTCATGCCAGCTGTGGCACAGGAACCTGTCCACCTGGTGACATGTCTGTGACACAGAGGGCTCCATTGGAAAATTTACAGTCGCAACAGACGACGTCTCTGGGATCAGACAGTCTTAATACCAAAAGCCTGGATGCTTCACAAAACAAAGAAAACAATGAAAATCACCAAGCATTTGGGAACGGTGTAACCTCTGATGACAGGGAAATAGAGAAAACAGGGGATGTTAATGCAGAAAAAGCACTTAACGTAAGTGGAACAAGGATTATGGACACTACCCAGTCCCAAGAGGTGGCACTACCAGTTGTCAGGAGGCTGAAGTCAACAAAGGCCATGTCTCGGAGTCAGGAGTCTCTGGAAGGGATTGTGTTGGCTGATGGTCAGGGAAGAGCAGTGGAATCTCCTTCTAAGAGCAGTGATGAGACGGATGATGAGGATGAAGGTAGGGAGAATGCTGTGCATTGCATTCATTGTGTTAGGCGCGATTTTTCTAACTGGAAATGATAATGGCCAAATTCATAACAGCAGACTCAATAGTCCACGTATTAAATATGGCGACCAAGTTAAAAGCTCGTCATCTAATCCGCTTAATTATAGACTTTGAATAGATTCCCCACAGTGATTACCCAACAAGCATTCAAGTGAGCTTGCCATATTTGATCCACAGACTACTAGTAGTTAGTCTGCTTATGTGAATTCAGCCAATGACAGCATCTTTCAGTATAGTAATTACTCCAAAATTTCAACCATTTTTTTAAAATTATTATTATTTAAAGTTTCCCCTCTTTATTTGCTCACAAACGGCACACTTGTCTTGAAGCTCGATCACTATTTATAATTTTCTTATTTAAAAACTAAGGAATTAACACATATTGCAGCACAGTGTAATGTTTGGACAGCTTATCAATGTACGTAATCAGTCTTTTTTTTTTCAAATGGAATGAAATGAAATGGAATATTTTTAAGCGCTGAAACAAATATCAGTTAAGGCCTGTTGTTTGAAGTAGCTGACTCATTGCTGTTGGTTTGAAAGATTTGAATGACAGTTGATACACATAACCTAAAATAATACAGATGTATAACACATAACTGGATCATTTTTTTACTCACTGTCAATTTTTTGTCATGTATACAAAGTAATTGGCAAGAAGAGATGGGTATATATGCAGAGTAGGTTTTAGCAAATCATAATAAGTTGAAGTGCAATTAAAGACAGTACGCTGTTATTATTGTTATTGTTAATTGTTCCCAAGTTCAGAGACAAATGTTTTGGTTTTTGATGTAAAATTTAGCTCGACATGTATGCAGTATGTACAGTAAAAAGTGGAGGAAAAGAAGGACAATTTCTTCTTAATGTTATATACATGTAAAAAATTATATGTGTGTGTGTGTGTGTGTGTGTGTGTGTGTGTGTGTGCTTTCCTTCAATGTGAGGGGTGTGAAACACAGATTATTTATATAATATTTATGAAGTGTCATTATGTATTATTTTATCTGCAAGTTTAAAAATCATTTTGATAACAAAAAGAATGTACATAATGTACAGTATCTCTCTTTTCCATAGAAAAGCATACTCATCACATCTTAATTTAGCATGCTGTCACAGATATCATTCAATAAAGGCATGAGAGCCATGCTGTATCTTAAGGACAAGCCAAATTTAACCAACATATTAACTAGCAAGTGATATATGCTGTGAGCTTAAGGAAATCTGAGATAATTTAACCACTTAATATCGTACTAGTACACTACTGCTAAGGCATGGTACAGTAATAACCCCAAATTTTCAAACACCTTTTTTTTCCAAAGATATTTTATTACAAGATTTTATAATTATCTTTTTAAATTTACTTTTGCATAAAAATCTGACATAAATCAAATTTAATTTTTAAAATTGTCAAATTATTTTTAGATACTTATGTCAGATAAAACATTTTTGGAGGAGCGTGTTTGAAGTATTTTGTTTGAATCTTGTGTGTGGAATAACAGTATGGATTACTATTGGGTCCTCCTTCTTGGCTTTTGTGTTATGGTCTTTGTTCAGCCCTCAGGATGTTTGAATGGGTTACACATTAGAGATCACTCATGCACTGAAACCAAGTGCTGTTATTTCTCCAAAATTTCAAAAGACAGCTAATTCAAATATGTTTGAATTTTTCCAAGTTTTGACACTTTTAGGTCACTCACAAAGTCTTGTTTTAAGACCCAACTTTGTAATGATATTTCAATATTACCAACAAACGCTTGAGCGAGAAAAAATGCAGTTTGTCAAATTTTCATGAATTTCTTGAGCAGCTTAAGTAGTGGGTGTGGCATTCCATATACCGCTACCCCTCAGGGTAATCACCATGTGAGTGTGACTCGTGTTGACTTCACAAAATGACTTGAGGCCCAAAATTGGTCTTAACTGCTAGACCAAAATTTATTATATATATTTTGACCTAAGATACTTGTGAATAATCCATCATATTCCTCTTTAATGGTATATTGGATTTTTTAAAAAAAGAAGAAAGATTGTTATATGAATGTTGTAGACTGGTATACTGGAATTACTTATAGTTGACTATACTTTGGATTTGTCTTGGCTCAGAGCAAAAAGAAAACGTGCCATCTTATCATTAGAATAACAATTTTTTTTAAGTGGCTTAGATGAGCTGCCTAGTAAATGTTTTTTAAAAGCTTGGCAGTAGTTTGACCCATTTTAACAATAGACCATGCAAATAATGGTGTAATGCTAGTGGGTAGTTAATATGAAGATATTGAAGCCAAATAGGTATCAGATGCACTTTCTTTGTTGAAAATTCTATGCAAAACAGTCATTCATGGCTTTATATAGATATACATGAACTTGTATAATGTTTAGAATAACTTAATGAAAAGATGTATGAGTATAGAGAGCATGTTTATGAAGCTGAAACTTTTCATTGATTGGTTTGGTCTCATCTGTTTCATATAATATACAAGAAAATTATATTTATAGAGTATAATGATTTATTTTCTCCTCAGGGATGTATGTGGAGAGTTATCGTTCTTCTCGCTGGGTGTATACTGGGGAGAATGGCGACATTTCACTGCTGCCACCTGGTGGAGAAAACACAGTTCCTAACGAAGATGGGCATACTGAAGGTATGGGTCAGCCATATTCTGTTCAACAGCTAGGTGCAAATATTTGATTTAAATTGATTAACAAATATCTGGACTGTCAGTCTTCCTCGTCATCAGTAGCCCATCGCAAACGAGGAAGACATTGTTCATCAGGTGCAGAATCTTTTAATTTGTGAGTATTCAATTGATCGATTGATCTGCAGATTTTGCCACAGGAATTGTAGGTCTGGTTTTGATCAGATCAGATCAGACTGTCAGTACACATTGCCTGAAGGAATGGCATGCGGGATTTTTTTTTGTTTTGTTTTGTTTTTTTTGTTTTTTTTTTTTTTTTAAATCTTCCAGGCATACCTTTTATGTATACTTATAGTCTGTTATAAGAAGTACTAGTATTCTAACAGGTGCACCTGCACTAATACAATAGAGTTGTTATGCTGTAGCCATTATTGGTTCTACAATGAAAAAAAGGCTGTTTAGACTGCCATCTATTGGTGAAAAATAGTATTAATGTTATGATAGATAATTATATAAGTATAGGTCAGTTGTTTAATTTATTTTTGGTGCCAGTCAATGATTTAAGTTTCTGTATTAATATGAACTACAGGTCATTATAGATAATGAAAAATAAACAATACAGAAAGATGAAGCATTTATCAAAAATACTTTATGCTGCTTGCAGAAGAGGTGCCAGTCGAAAATCGTGTCCAAAATTTTCTGCTGAACTCTTCTCATCTGGAGTCAATTAATGAAGGTTAGGCTCATTTGTATAATTTCTTTTATAACATTAATTTTTCACTGGTAATTAAGATTTACAGAATTTTGGGTAAAGTTGCTTAATACATACATTTTGAATGATGCCATATATATGTTGTATATATTAGTTGGCAGATTGAATATTATCATTAATATATTATTATTATGAAATGTTATGACCAAGACTGTAACCTGAAGCACCTATCTACAAAAACTCTTCCTCTTTATAAACTTAAGATGAAATTTTTGACGGGGAAGACATCGGTCCAATGGTCAGTCCCCTTCAGCGCCTCCATGACAGATTTGGCTCAGTTGGATCCGAGTCCGTGGCATCTGACACGTCCACAACCTCGGAGAGGGACTTTAGGAGGCGCCATCAGGCTGTCTCCAGGAAATATGTACAGAGAAAATCCAGCACCCAGGCATATCACAGAATATCTCAGAGATACTACGGTAATGTGCCATGAATTTCGTACTTAAGAATTTAATTAATTATTGTGCAATCTGTATTTGAGTGATGAAATGCCTTCTAGGTTAAAGATGCTGAAAAATAAATTACAAAAATGTTCAAGCAGTAAATAGTAAATACTATCTCCACAAATCATTTCCATTATACATTATGTATGTAACAGTTATCTTTTTTCATTTTTTTAAAGTTCGATTAAAGTGCACTCTCTTACAGTATAACTAAACAAGCAAGCAACATGTATAAGACCTAAACATGCTTGTTTCATAAACGTAAACCTATAAATTGCTGTAGTTCCATGTAAAAATTGCTATACATTGGGATGGCTACGATGGGATGGGTGGGGCGTGGGGGGGGTAAGACCTCTACCACAACTTGATAATTGTTAGTTTGCAATGAAATAAGATTAAATTTTCTTACTAATTGTAGAGACTGACAAGATGCTGACTGTGGTGAAGAGACCAGGAGATGTGGACTTCGGATTTCATTTCCAGGGCAGCCATCCTCCCGTAGTGTCCACTCTGAAATCAGGTATACTGTCACAACTAACACACTCACTGTCACACTCTTTTACAACTAATACACTCACTGTCACAACAAACACATTCACTGTCACACTATTTCACAACTAACACACTCACTGTCACAACAAACACATTCACTGTCACTCTTTCACACCTAACACATTCACTGTCACAACTCACTACTGTCACAACCAACACATTCACTGTCACAAATAACACCCTCACTGTCACATCTGACACCCTCTGTCAAAGCAAATGATCTCATTGTCACAACTAACACGTTCATCTGCCAAAACTAGCACTGTATGGAATATCTAAACTCTAGCTTCACTCACCATTGCATGAGCTATAACTTGAATGTGAAAAAATTTCTGCAAGACTTTCTGAAGAACTCAAGAGAAAATTATCTGTAAGACTGGGTTCTCATAACTAGATCGATCTAACAGGATCGATCCATCTCCAAGTGGTTTCTCACTAAATTGCTTTCAGCTTAAGCGGCTTAGATATCTGGCATGCCTACTGAAACTGCTAAATGATAATTAATTACCCCCTACCTGCTTCAGTAGACATGACAGACATCTAAGCTGTTGAAGTTGATTGCAATTTAGCCAGAATCCCCTTGGAGATAGATCAATCCAAAGTTAGTAAGGTAGGGTCTGGGAATGGTCCCTTACATTTGTTTGGATCAGTGCCAAGCAAATATATCACTTGAATATTTCTCTGGTTAAAGATCTTTAATTTTTTTTATACCAGGTGGAGCTGCAGAGGCTGCAGGATTGGAGGTTGGGGATCTTATAACTTGTATTAATGGGGTGGATATCATGGCTTGCACACACAGTGAATGTTTACAGCTTTTACAAAGCAGTAAGTAGCAGAAAATTTATCAAGTTTCATTTCTGATGTATGTTTTTTTTTTTTTTTGCCTCGAAACAAATTATTTCTGTTCTTTTTTTTTTCTATTTCTACAATAATGATATTATTATTATTTTTTTTTTTTTATTATTCAAAAACGTTAATAAAAATACTGAAAGTTTCATTGTTCTCTAAAATGATGTTGCATATTAACTTATTTAAATAACTCTCTCTGATAAAATGAATTTTTTAAAAGAGTGTAAATAAAATGCTGAATTTCTCACATTATATATATGTACATCCAACAGTCTTTCTGTCTAACTTGTTATTTCTGGCCTAGATTCAGACAGTGTGGACCTGGAGATCACCTCTGCTTCCAATAACAATCTGCCTTATCACGTTGGCAGTAGAGACTCCAAGGTCCCCATGCTTACTGGCTACCTGCTTAAACAGAGCTCTAACTACATCAAGTCCTGGAAGAAGCGCTGGTTTGTCCTCAAACAAGATAACTGCCTGTATTATTATAAGACTGAGAAGGTAAGATGGTTGCTCATTGTGTTCCTTCGATAATTTGTTGTGACAGTTGTGAAATATGTAAAACTTTTTTTCTTCACATACCACACTGTCTACCATCTGTAAAGTTCAATTGCGTGATGCAGGGTTTCATCATTAGCAAATTTTCTCATGGTAGAGCATGCATTGTTGATGCTGAAATAATGAATCAGCCAAACGATACAAGTTGGCCTTTCTGGCCAATGGAAACAAAATCATTGACTAATTAGCCAGTGTGTAATTGCCAACATGCCATTTTTGCACAGTAAGCTTATAGTAGTCAAACAAGTTCTCTTTTGTCCCAAACACATTCTGACATATCCAAACACAGCCATGTCTTTTTACAATCCAGGAAAAAGATCCATTGGGTGCCATATTGCTTAGCAACTATACCATCACCAAGGCAACCGATATACACAAACGGCATGCATTCAAAGCTCTTAAATATGGGTCCAGAACTTACTACTTTGTGGCTCAGAGTGAGGAGGAGATGTCCAGGTCTGTTATGGATGTTACTGGTCTGGGCTATTACAATAACATAAGTGTGTTGTTAATTTTTGTCCTAGTTATTCTAGGTATACTTCTTATATATAGATGACAAGGTTACACTTTGTAAACTCTGGTTTCTGTTATATTAACTGTTGCTGTATGATTTCTACTATGACTGCAGTCTGAGGTGCTATGACAGCCACTCACCACTAGATGTCACCAGATGTCATGGTGAACATGACTGCAGTTGCAACAGATACATGCTCATAGCAATATGAAAAAGCCAGAGTGAATAACGTTCAACTTTGTCATTTATTATTTATTATCATTTTGTTGATTAGCTAACTCTTGGCTCTGGATTCATTTACTCTAGAATACTATCTGACATGACAAGATGACTGAGACACATCTCTGGCCTGTAGCCAGCAATTTTAAATGAGGGGTTCTTTCTCTGGAAAAAGTGGACATTTACCATGCAATCTTCATGAAGCTAGAACAAATTTTACCCAGAGTGGACCTTTTTCCTACTTGGTTTGTTGGAACCCCCTGGATCCCCCTGGCTACAGGCCTGCATTTAGGCCTTGTGTTTTTGCTCAGAAGAGAACTTCTCTTTCTGGGGCATGAAACACCTACAGGCCCTGTTTGGCTAAATGTAGATGGTTTTAAATCTTAACACATACAGGGTTTGTCCATGTAGTCTAGTCATCTTGTGATGTATTCAGCATTTATATGTGCAGTTTAAGTTATTCCAGATCTTAACACAGCCTGAGTTTTTATCCATTTTTACTTGCTGTTAAATTGTTGTGCGTAATCATGTTGATTTGATGTCTTTTAATATGTGCCATTGTTGATTTTAAACTTTTAGTGGTTGATTCCCAGTGGAAGGATGGGTAGTGTTTTTGTTAGAAATTTGTGCAGGCATGCCACTTGGTTCCTGGACCATGAAAACTTGCATAAAATAATCAAATTTGTATTAATAAAACAAATTAACATTTACTTATCAGAAATGCAAAATTACATTGTTGGATGTAAAAGAAAAAAAATATAAATGAGATCATTTTAATAATATGCTCACAAACTTGACACAAAGGGTATGCTAATTTGTATCATAAATTAAATCACATATATATGAAATATTTTATTGTTAATTACATAAGATTGGTGTGACACTTTCAGTTATTAAATAATTTTTTCAGTGACATGCCTGGACGCAAATTATTATTATTATTATTATTATTGATGTTACAGTCTTTATCCTGATTACATAGTCATTTTGATGTGTTGTGGTTGATTTAATTGGGTTGTATTTATATTTATGTTGAGTTAATGATTTTTTATAACAGAAGCTTCTCTGAACTTTTAAGAATGAATTTAAGCCCCTCCCCCATCATCATCCACCAACCTCACCCCTTCTTTGATTCCGAAATATCCGGAATCCATTATTTTTATTAACTGTTCAGATTTGCTTTAAAGAATGGTCAGTGTGCAGTAGCAGCCCATCCGGCTTGCATGAGTTGCTTTGGTGCATGTAATTGTTTGTTGATGCTATGTTCCATGTTTGGTGTTGTTTTTAGATGGGCAGATGCTCTGAATCAGGCTGCTCAAACTTCTAATAAGGTAAGCTTATACTGTCCAACATGGCGATAATTTTACATTATTTTGTAAAGGATGCTTGTTATGTCTAAATGATATTGTGACAGCTTACACAATATTACAACTGTGATATTGTGACAGCTGACAGAATATCACAACTAACACATTGTATCAGTCTGTAGAATGCCACAACTAACACATTGTATCAGTCTGTAGAATGCCACAACTTACACATTGTGACAACATAGTCACTTTATAAATATCAATTTACAGACAATATGACAAATTTTTGTTCTCATGTTCCGGACAGTTAACTTTGGCTAATAGAGTTGTATGCATTTTCTGCATTCTGTCATCCTTTTATTATTTTATTTTAATATTCTTATTTAATTTTTTCTTTTTTTTTTTCATTCATTAATTTATTATCATGATTTTTTAAGTATTTAATTAAACTAGAGAATGTTACAAGATTATTTTTTGACCATTTTCATGCATAGTCCAAATATAACAGTTTTAACTTAGAGGTGTATATGAAGAGTAAAAGATATTGCAGATTAGGGTTTTGGCCAGTATAATTTATAATTATAATTATTATTTAACTTGACTATTCCAGATGGACACATGGATAGATGTTAGCAGTCAGAATGTGGATCTTCCAGCCCTGTCAATCAAAAACCCAGATTGCCATGGTTACCTGCATAAACTTGGCACAAATCGACATAAGTGGCAGAAGCGTTACTTTGTCTTGAAGGATGCTTGCATGTATTACTACACTGATGTGGCCTCTAATACAGCCAAAGGTGAGGAATGTCATAGGGTGGGTCTAGAGACAGTTCACTTTTACAGAAGAACTGTCAAAGCAAGAAGTTATAAGAGAAGGAGTAGAAACGGGACATCAATTATCTCTCTCGTCCAATCAGATCGCAGCGTTCTTTTCAAAGCGGCGTCCTTTGAAATTGGATCCTCGTAACTGGTCTAATCCTCCGCGTGGCTCAAGACGGAGAAGATGAACTAGTGCGTGTACTTCTTGATTTATTCATGTTTAATGCGAATATTTGGAAGTTACACTTAGAAAAACGCCAAGCCGAGCGATATAAAGGTGAGTGAGAGTTGATAGTATGTTTTGAGCATTGTTTTATGTTCAGACGGTGGCTGTCAGTCAAATTTGCCTGTGCAGAAACCAGCGTTAGCTCGAAGAACTGAGGCCGATTCAGCGGGAACTCCATGTTTAGGACTTTTTTCTTCTTAATTGCGTGATGTATGCACATAATTTATGTTTTTCTGGTTAGCTAAGCACGTGCATCATTACAATACATCATTGTGGTATTATATGAATCAATCCTTTAGATGAAAAACATCGTTTTAAATAGACAACTTTTCATCGGACTTTTTTTCAAAATGGCGGGTCCCTAAATTGGTAAGAGACAGTTGAGTGACAGTTTGGGACATTTTTTGGTAATTTTTACGTGATGTTTGCATATAATTTATGTTTTTCTGGTTAGTTAAGCACGTGCACCATTACATTACATCATTGTGGTATTACATGTATCAATCCTTTAGATGAAAAACATTGTTTCAAATAGACAACTTTTCATCGGACTTTTTCAAAATGGCGGGTCCCTAAATTTGTAAGAGACAGTTAAGTGACAGTTTGGGACATTTTTTGGTAATTTTATTGTGATGTTTGCATATAATTTATGTTTTTCTGGTTTTTCTGGTTTTCATCGGACTTTTTCAAAATGGTGGGTCCAAAANTACATGCTCATAGCAATATGAAAAAGCCAGAGTGAATAACGTTCAACTTTGCCATTTATTATTTATTATCATTTTGTTGATCAGCTAACTCTTGGCTCTGGATTCATTTACTCTGGAATACTATCTGACATCACAAAGTGACTGTGTTACATCTCAGGCCTGTAGCCAGCAATTTTAAATGAGGGGTTCTTCTTCTGAAAAAGTGGACATTTACCATGCAATCTTCATGCAATTTTACCCAGAGTGGACCTTTTTCCTACAAAAATTGTGGGCCATTGGAACCCCCTGGACCTCCTGGCTACAGGCCTGCATTTAGGCCTTGTGTTTATTGCTCAAAGGAGAGTTTCTCTTTCTGGGGTATGAAACACCTTTAGGCCCAGTATTGCTAAATGTGGATGGTTTTAAATCTTAACACATACAGGGTTTGTCCATGTAGTCTAGTCATCTTGTGATGTATCCAGCACTTTTATGTGCAGTTTTTAGTTATTCCAGATCTTAACACAGCCTGAGTTTTTATCCATTTTTACTTGCTGTTAAATTGTCGTGCGTAATCATTTGATGTCTTTTAATATGTGCCATTGTTGATTTTAAACTTTTAGTGGTTGATTCCCAGTGGAAGGATGGGTAGTGTTTTTGTTAGAAATTTGTGCAGGCATGCCACTTGGTTCCTGGACCATGAAAACTTGCATAAAATAATCAAATTTGTATTAATAAAACAAATTAACATTTACTTATCAGTAATGCAAAATTACATTGTTGGATGTAAAAGAAAAAAATATAAATGAGATCATTTTAATAATATGCTCACAAACTTGACACAAAGGGTATGCTAATTTGTATCATAAATTAAATCACATATATATGAAATATTTTATTGTTAATTACATAAGATTGGTGTGACACTTTCAGTTATTAAATAATTTTTTCAGTGACATGCCTGGACGCAAATTATTATTATTATTATTATTATTGATGTTACATAGTCATTTTGATGTGTTGTCATTGATTTAATTGGGTTGTATTTATATTTATGTTGAGTTAATGATTTTTTATAACAGAAGCTTCTCTGAACTTTTAAGAATGAATTTAAGCCCCTCCCCCATCATCATCCATGCATCATCCACCAACCTCACCCCTTCTTTGAATCCGAAATATCCCAAATCCATTATTTTCATTATCTGTTCAGATTTGCTTAAAGAATTGTCATTGTGAAGTAGCAGCCTACTCAGCTTGCATGACTGTTGAGTTGCTTTGGTGCATGTTTGTTGATGCTATGTTCCATGTTTGGTGTTGTTTTTAGATGGGCAGATGCTCTGAATCAGGCTGCTCAAACTTCTAATAAGGTAAGCTTATACTGTCCAACATGGCGATAATTTTACATTATTTTGTAAAGAATGCTTGTTATGTCGAAAGGATATTGTGACAGCTTACACAATATTGTATCAGTGATTTTGTGACAGCTGACAGAATATCACAACTAACACTTTGTATCAGTCTAGAATGCCACAACTTACACATTGTAGTCACTTTAAATATAAATTTACAGACAATATGACGAATTTTTCTTTTCATGTTCCAGATAGTTAACTCTGGCAAATAGAGTTGTGTGCATTTTCTGCATTCTGTCATTCTTTATTATTTTATTTTATTTTTCTTATCAAATTTTTTTCTTTTTTTTTTTCATTCATTTAATTATTATCATGATTTTTAGTATTTAATTAAACTAGAGAATGTTACAATATTATGTTTTGACCATTTTTTCATGCATAGTCCAAATATAACAGTTTTAACTTAAAGGTGTATATGAAGAGTAAAAGATATTGCAGATTAGGGATTATTACCAGTATAATTTATAATAATTTAATTATAATTATTCTAGATGGACACATGGATAGATGTCAGCAGTCAGAATGTGGACCTCCCAGCCCTGTCAATCAAAAACCCAGATTGCCATGGTTACCTGCATAAACTTGGCACAAATCGACACAAGTGGCAGAAGCGTTACTTTGTCTTGAAGGATGCTTGCATGTATTACTACACTGATGTGGCCTCTAATACAGCCAAAGGTGAGGAATGTCATAGGGTGGGTCTAGAGACGGTTCACTTTTACAGAAGAACTGTCAAAAGTTGGTTTTAACTAAAAGAATATCTTTGTCCGAGGATGAATCGGAGCAAAGGTCCTTGTAAAATGGGCATCATTTCTTACATTTTGTGAAACCAATCTAGTGTTGTTCTCTGTTGCTCATTTAACATCGGTCGTAGTTCACATTATGCATTTTTTAAACAACAGAGACAAGTAAGACAATTTAATCACATTATCAAAGATGCTCATTTTTATCCAATGAGGTATCTGCATTGCTGTTTCTTCCTTCCTCAGGCGTGTCACATCTCCATGGATACACAGTTGATGAGAATCCCAAGGTGGGAAAGAAGTTCTCCATTGGTCTTATTCCACCAGAGACGCGGATGAGATCATTTTATTTCTGTGCTGAAAAGGCGTTTGATAAGGATAGGTAGGGATAATGGTGATTTCTATCTGAATGGGAAAAGTATGACTTCTTTGCATTCCCTCAAAAAGTGTTTCTTGTGGTGCAAAATTCAAAATTGTTTATTGCACTCATTCTGGTCTGTGTGTTAACTACATGTATATTTATTTTGTAAAAATCTACAACACAGCACAAAAACTTCCTCACTGTTCCGTCTCTCCATCACTTTCACTTTCACTTTCACTTCAATGATTTGATGCTCGTCTTACATATAATCTGACCTCGGTTTCAGATGGGTTGCAGCACTGAGGACTTCCATAGGCAGATGGGTGAAGGCAGATTGAAGATGGCAAAAAATATGCTGAAAGAAGCAAAAAATAAACAGCATGAAGTTTGAAAAAAAAAATATGGCCCAATCATGCTGTTTTTTAACTCTACCTGTATTTTATGAATATTCATCAGTCCCGTAAGTTTGAAGACAAATAGTAACACTATTTTACTCTTATCGGGTTATCACTGAGAGTGCACGGCGACGATGGGGACGGCGATGGTAGATGCAGGTGACAGCTATATGTACAGACAAATCTGCATCTGTACATAAAAAGTAATGAATGGAGTCACTAAAATAAATGCGCCTGATCATAGTGCATATATAAAATGAGTTGCATAATTGTAACTACTGTACAGTCATATGGTGTGGTATGATATGTAATATGCCATTTATCAAACATTATTCTTTCACACTGGACAACATCAAAACATATAAAGGAAACTCTCAGTTTTCTGTGAAAAGTGAGTGACTTTGTAATTGATACTCTTTCACAAAAAAAAATTACGTAATACTAAGCCAATTATTAAGATAGATAGTGGCATTTATTGTTTTGTTTTATCATTTAATCATTGTGATATGTGTTACTAGTTTCAGTAAAGACATATTTGTGACAATATCACCCTTTAAAAGTGGGTTGCCGCTCTGAACTGAGCAGACTTAATTATGTACCATATCCAAATAACATCAGAGAAGGACAGTGAGTATACAGTGAACTGGAAAAATGTATAATCCTCTATTTAATTATAGTTGACACAGAAGATCATCAGACTGGTGAAAGATGCACTGATGTCACCATATCATTTATAATTGAAAGAGGGGGTGAAGCTATATGTTATTGGTGATGTCATTAAGGGGATAATAACTCTTCATATGAGATCTATATTTCACAAAAAAAAAACATTGTGAATAACTCATAGAAATATAATATATTATGTTTTACGACAAAAACAGCAGTTATAGCTATTATTCTGATATCTGAGCTTGTCTTCAGATCACGTGACCTCCATTGATGGCTATACTCTGTTATAATCTCATAAGAGATTTTAACAAAAAACCAAACTTTTTAGAAAAAAAACAGGGACCAACTTTGAATGTAAAAATGGATTCATTAACCATTGGTAAGTATGGGAAAATTGCTGTTTACTCCAGAAAAATTCATTTTTTGGCCAAAATGAAAAGTTATTATCCCTTTAAGTCTTTTTTCTGTAGAAGTGAGTCAGGGTTTGAACATAGATTCCTTCAATCATTCTAGTGATACAGTTTGTACTGGTACACTGTGAGAGAACCTTATAACTTGTGATTATGTTAGTAAGGCTATTAACTTTAGTTAGTCTGTCATATATTGCAATCATAGGGCTTAGATAGATTGTGTTAAGTGTAAACTAAACTTGCCTTACTGCTCCATCTATAACTTGGTTCCCATACCTAGATCGATCCATGTGGATTGTTCTAACTCCAGACATATGAGCCGGATAAGTTGATAGCAATTTAGTGAGACTCTCAGGGAGATAGATCGATCCAAATACCTGTGGGAATGGTCCCTATAGTACACTGTGTGAGATGGAGCACATTCAGAACAGATCCATCAACTTAATATGGCCTTCTCACTTAAAAGCAATGCTGCTTAATCCTCTGATGGCCTCCCTGCCTCCACACGCGCCATTAAACGGGTTAAATCTCAGCTCTGAGGTTAAATTGCAAGGTACCTGCAGTGACGGCACTTGTGGAGGCAGGGAGGCCATCAGTGCAGGGAATTAGTCTGCGCTGTTTTTAAGTTAGTCGATCATATTTCATCTGGGGATCAGTTTGTCTTCTACTGAATACCCTTGATGAATTTGCAAAAACATTCCAGTTATTCCATAAATCTACATATAACATATTTATTTTTTTGTGATATAGAAATGGTCTCTGTGTGTATTTTTTTTTTTTTTTTTTNATAGTGCTGTTATTATGACAGTGACAATACCATTTTTGTGACACTAACAAGGTTGTTATAATTACAGTAGCACTGTTGTGACACTTAAAATGTTGCAACTGTTACAGTTATAATGCCTTTGTTCTTAGCAGTTATATGATCTGAAATAAATCTTATATAAAGAACAAATCATGTTGTTGTAAACATTTGTAAATCTGATTTTTTTCTGAAAAATCAGATGAAACTGTAAACAGCATTTTTTTTTTTTTTTTTGGTTATGATGCTTACAGTTAATTAACAAGGAACATGTAGAGTAGGGATATAAGATTATTATAGTTTTTTCATTTGTGTAGCTTCGACACCAAGTAAAAACTTACAGATAATGTATATTTATTTAAATTTTGGATGCACAAGCACATAATTATCAGTATTCATAATTCTATGCACACAACTGCCTGTCAATTGTTGATCACAGACATAAAAAATTATAAGTGAATTTAAAAAAAAGACAAAAGGAGGATATTAGCTAAAATTTCTTATTGGTAAAAATGAGCATTAAAGGAAACCCACAGTGCATTATAAAGTCACAGTTTATGCAGACCATTTAAAATAAAATACATTTAGAGAATCAAATAATATATCCGTTTCAGGATTTATTCCTCTTCTTATACAATAACCTACATATATAAATGGCAGAGATAACTCCAGTAAAAATATGGTCTTATGTAGGGCTTAGTTAAATACGTGATGGTTGTTATATACTGTATTCATGTTTTTTTCTTGCCGTTAAAACAAAATAGAAAAAAAGACGGAGGGAAACAGAGGGAGAATTCAAAAGAAAGTAGCATAAGTCTTGCATGTTGAGCTTTAGAATGTTTGCATAATACTAGCCTAAGGAATTTTGCCATTTGTAGTAAGCATTTAAGAAGTGACTTAATTAACACACATCCACTTCATCTAAGGAGGCATGGACTATGCAGAGACTTTGGAAAGCAGTCATAAAAAGGCCAGGATTAACAGCTAAATTCATTTGGTCTTTTTGAACCATTGCTGATATACTGTAGAGATAACCTTATGCTTTCAAAAATTTTGTAGTTTGGGTACAAATAAACAAAATAATAAAAACCTAGTGAAAATCTTGTTATTGTTATTGTACCACCAGCGTAGGCGCTGGCGGTACACATGGTTTTTATCCAGACCTGCAGATTCTCTCGGCTCCTCTGGCTCTGCCGCCATGTCACTGTACCGCTTCCCCTCCTAGACTACAAGGGCCTGCATACCCATCTCTTGGATTTAGGTCGCGTATAATCTCAACTCGAGCCACGTAAAATTTGGGCTTCGTCGGTGCTGGGGTTGAGGTTTGGTGGCACTCATTGCAATACACCCTCGTCCAAAATTGGCAAAATTAAATGCTAATTATCTACCATTTCGAAGGAATTATGGGAAAAATTTCTACAGACCGAAAGTCATATGTGGAGATTTCAAATATGCCCTTGGATTTGACCTTTGACCTTTACTTCAAGGTGAAACGGGCCAAATTAAAAAAAAATGGAATTTATTACGAAAAAAAAAATATTTGCACTGTAATTCAGAAAACTACACAGACCTAACCTATAATATTATTGGCAGGTGTTACATCAGGTCATCTTTCATCTCCATGAGTTTGGGGTCAATCGGTGCATTTTCACAGGAGCAGCGGCCATTAGATGCCGAAACAGAAAACTCTCTAATTCGGGAACCATTAATGCTAGAGACCCCTTGTTTTTTGCATTTGATAGAGCATGTCAAGCCCAACACTGTTGTTTTCCATACAGTTTACTAGTTACGCTGTATCAAAAAATACATTACGGTGGTGAAAGTAAAGTGTGCAATACGGTAATATGCATAAAATTTTGAACATCTGGAAAAGATAACATAAGCAGGTCCGTAGCCAGCAATTTCAAAAGGGGGGGGGGTCTTTTTCTGAAAAAGTGGACCTTTTACCATATAATCCCCATGTACCTAGGTCAAATTTTACCCAGAGTGGACGTTTTTCCAGCAAAAAGGGAGGTTCTTTTGAACCCCCCGAACCCCCCTGGCTACGGACCTGATAAGAATTGGCGCGGCAGACAACTTCTGGTCAAAATGACATTATTTCATGAAATATGAACATCTGGATCTTCTGAGCACCTCCCATTTCAACAATTTCAAAATGACTTTTTCTTTTTTCAATTATTTCTTCTTTATGGCACATTACTGTAACTCCAAAATTGTAACATTTAGATAGGTCCATAATTACTATTGATGTTGAATAGGAAGTCCTACACTGGCAATAAAACTGTGACCTTCAAATTGACCTTTTACCTACTTTTCACCATGAACTCGAGTTTAGATAATTTTAGTCCCTTATATCTCAAGAACTGGCAGAGATAAGGTC